GTGGTCTACCCATTTGAACTCCAGCCAGGGAGCCCCACACGAAGCAGCTCTTGGGCCCTTCCCCTTCTCAAAGATACTCAAAGGCCATCTCAGCCTTCCCAGAAAGCGCCCATTTCAGGAAGCTCCTCAGTCCTTAAGCACACCTTCAAAGCCTTGTTTCTCCACAGGTAGGTCCCAGTGATCTGCCTCTTAGGAGAGCATGGCATCCTGTCACACCTGCCCTAGATAACAGCCATCAGCAACCACACCTTTACAGCATCCACATCCAAGAGAAGTTGGGTTTTTCTTTGCCCCTGCTTCCAGTTTTTTTGAGGTCAGCCCTTTTGGCGGGTTGATCTCCAGGAGCGGCATATATCCCCTCCTGAAGCACTCACCGCACGAGCAAAATCTCTTTTTCTCAGCACCTCCTCCAGGACTAAGCTTTGCTAACATCTCTAGTGCTCTTCCTTGGCTCTTTCCCCCCCCCTCCGAGTTTCTTTAAAATCAGCAGTTTTTCCACATCCTTCAACAACAATTAAGAGAGGGCTCACAAAATGGCACCCTCCGAGGTACATCAGAGGCATCAGCAGGAGGGGCCGCGCAGCCTCTGAGGGGGGAGGCTGGTTCCAGCCGGTTCTGGCCAGTTCCAGCAGCTGCACCACAGGGCACAGCCCAGCCCCTCAGTCATGCCGGCACCACCTCTGCATAAACAGATTTAAGAAAGGACAAAACACCACTCAGCAGCAAGGAACGAGGGGGAGAAGTGTGAGAAACACAGGGGAAGGAGGTTTATCTCGACCCAGGAGGTTTTTCATCCTGTTTTTTCCCCCTCTGTCCTGTTGAGGTGGGGAGCGAGCAGCTAGGTAGGAACCTGGCAGCCGGCCATGGACAAGCTACAGAGATTCACCTGCAAAAGTGCACTTGTAATCTAATCAAATGTACCAAAGTCTCTCAAGAACTGGAATTACCACAGTCCCTACAATTCCCTGAAAATCGCTTGGTTGTCACCCTTGTGTATACCATCCATCAGCAGAGGATCCTGCATAGCCCCCCCCACAAGCCATGACTCAGGGTCTTTCTGAGTCATCACCACAGACTAGGGAACTCATTTCTCCCCCAACCTCCCATTTTTGTTTTTACCCAATACACACCACGTGTAACAGATCAGACTAACAATATCATAAACTTTAAGGGGAAAATACTAAGGACGGCTTTTAAAGATTAAAGATAGGTGATTCAGCTTCTCTACTTGTAAAAAGCCTTAATGGTTTATAAAAAGAAAGTTATTGATAAGGAATAGCTGTGGATGTTGTGGTATGCTGCCACACAAACGTTTAGCAGACATGCAATAGTACTATAATAATAAGCAGCTAGTATTTAATGTGTACTTAATGTGTACCTGAAGAGAGCTGATGTTGTCAGGACAGAAAATAACAGACACCAGTAATCTGTTTGCAGAAGCCAGACTGTACACAGCCTTCAAGGCACATGATGAAAGCTTGAATAAAAGGTTTTCATGTGCAAGTAGATTTCAAAGTTCGAGTTTATAAAGATGTCTGTAGAAAGGTATGAAAATAAAATTCTGCAGGAGGTATGTCTATGAGATATTTATATATGTTTAACGTAAATCTAGGTCAAGAATAATGGAAGTCAGCACAGTTGAAGATATGAAGTGCCCAGCCCAATCCTGGAACCTATTCTGCAATTAATTTTACTGGTGTCTGGACTAATGACATGGTGGCTCTGCCTGTGGCTCATATGCTGTGTTTATATTTCTGCTTCCAGCATAAAGAATAAATCTATATATACTTTTGAGCTTATAATGTGCACGACTAATTTATACAGTGCAATGTATATAGACAAAAAGTAAAGGTATTTCTTAACTGAGAATTTAAGATCACAGTGTTACTGGCCAAAAAGTAATTTATTAGTACTGTGCAGTTTGTCTCTGCTGACAAGCAGGTAGAAATAACTCATACTTACATTACTGGATAAAAGCTACTAAAATTCTTGAAATAAACATTGTAACATGACTAGCAACTGACTTCTCAAAAAGCCTGTCTGCACAGATTATAAGCATGCTGGAGGCAGTCTCTTTGCAATAAAAACAGACTGTTTCTGCATCTTCAGAACAGCAGTAAATGCAAATCCAGTTAAAGTTCTTCCTATGACATTGACTGACTCATGGATATTGATTTTTCTGAGATTGAAGAGTGTAGTACTTACATGACTCAGTTCACGTGGCACCGCTGAAAATGTGACAAATACTACATCTTGCTACTCAGCACAGCAAAATAAGGGCCCAAGTAAAATTCAAAAGTTCATTTTGTGGGTAAGATGAATTGTTTTGTACATGCTCTACTGTGCTTGTGATATTCCAGGCAGTATTTTTCTTACAAGCTTTGACAACAAATACTCTCTTCCCTTACTGGGACAGATCTAACACTACAACAGCTGGTTAGCCTAAAAATGCCCAAACACTTCTGGGGAAGTGCTAGGCCTGGAGCACTAACGCAGCTGAGGAGGAGATGAATGTTCTTACTTCTTGTGCGTTACCAGTAGAATTACTAAAATTTAAAACCAATAGCCTCTGAGCAATCTGTGGAAGTCAACAGACATGACTGAGGTCACGATCAGAAAACAAAAATACTTGTGTAATGCTAATTTTTCCCACTGAACAAACTTTAAATTCCAAGGGGAGCAGGAATAAAACCATAGCAGCTTCTCAGAGGACTTACAACTGGGGCTATTTCATTTTTCCAATTTCAAAACACATGGGGGGAAACCCCACCATTTTTGCACCTAGGTTTTATCAGGAAACATGGGAATTCAGCAAAGTTATTTTTATGTTGCTTTTGGATTGAGAGTCAAAATTCTATTTACTTGCATTTTAAACAGCATCCAAAGTTGTATTCCTCATCTGTTGCCAATTAAATATAGGGTAACACTAACCACTAAAGGGTCAGGAAAACAGTAGCACACTGAGAATTGAACCTGAACTGCCCATATAAGCAGCAGTGCCAGTTGCTTTTCAGTCACACTAGGAGACAAAAATTCATTGTTATTAAAACTATCTATATATGAAACAATCTTTGGTTCAGGTATAAATGAATTTTTACCTACTCACCAAAAATTAAATTTATTTTTTCCACAATTTTCTAATGTGTGATTTTCTTAAAGGGTGGACGGGATAGAATCGGAGCTAACAACAGTTTTATAGGAGCTGTGAACCAACCAAGACAAAAGAATGCTACTTCTACTTAAATATTGTTTTAATTTTCACTTCACAGCTGTAGTCACTAAACTCAAGATTTTTGCACTGCATAATAAGCTGCTATTACAGGAAGTAAAATACTCTAGTTCAACACACTGAGTTAGAGACTCATAATTAGATGAAGTATTACCAAGATTCTTCTGTGCCTTAAGATACACACCATCATTTGGCTTCATTATTTCTGATGTTTTCATATGGTTCATGGTATATGGGAGGATCAAGATATGAAAGCAGCCTTTTTAGTAACAAACTTTGAACAGCCTCCATCTCAACGCTTGTAACATTATTCCACAAATTCCCAAAGGATGCCTTGTAACACTGAAGCAATCATTTCAGGTCATAAAAAGATAAAGAACCTTAAATAACTTTTCATTTTTTCCAGAAAGAAAATTATTATTTATGCTCTTAAAATGAAAAGGACTTTGTACAAAAGGTCTGGAAAGATCTGTTTTTAATTACATATTTCAAAACTGAGTTATACAACACAATTCTTCTGCTTATACTCAGTAAATATATTAAAAACTTAAGAGACCAGGAAACAAATAAGCAGACTAGTCTATAACTAACTCAGATGTTTTCTGGAAAAGCATGTCATGAACAATTCGTCCCTTGTGACTGAAAACAAAGAGGGAGAAGAAAAGGGGCAAAGAAAATGAGTTTAAGCAAGAAATTGTAACACCCCTTTTGATGTTGCATGCAAGCCGAAAATGAGAAAAAGTGTCGATCATTCAGTCTACAGCCTTATTTAAAAGATCAAAACAAGCCTGAGCAGCTTAAAGCCTTACTTCATTAAAAGAAAAGAAGCTATGCACAGTCAAAGAGTTAATTGAATGGTAAGTGGGACATTCTTTCTTGCAGCTTTGCTTAAATGATAGAAACAAAATTATTTACAAACTGTCCTGTATTCCACAGAAGACAATCAAGGTCCACTTTACAAGAGTTTTTTCCACACAGTCTGCCATTTCTTTTCAAATTTTTTATTACCCACCTGCTACCTTAAGATCTCCAGGTTGAGTTTTAATAACTTGCTAAATAAATTATATACATGAATTAAAATCTTCCAGCCACTTAGAAACAGAAACTGCATACAGTATATGGTGACAAGATCTTCAGAACAAAATTTGAAAACAAGTGGCTCAAGATATTTGCTAAGGAAAGCCTTCTTTTTTACCTACAAAATTAAAAATACCAGTGATAAAGTTGTGCTGCAATACAAAAGCCTGTTTGAATGTGTAAGCTTTTGCTGAGACTACATAAACTCTAATCCATAACGTATTTTCTCAGCAAGTGAATCCATTTTTCCCATTCCTTTGAAGATGCCACAGAGCTAACAGAAACATCCAAAACTTTGCTTAATGCAGAGGGAATATCATACAGGACTCCTTAAATGCAGCACTTATTTACTGAAGGAGAACACAAATCTCCCAGAAGGACATGAGAAACTCGATTTTTGAAGTGTCATTCACTCTTTTGAATACACTAATTTGAATACTTGTAAGTCATATGTTACTATGATTCATTGTATATTTGGCTAATCATTTAACAGTTCCTTACAAAATGTTAAACACTTGAAAATGCTCGAGGGCAAGTAAATTAACAATCAGAAGAGTACTTAATGGCCAATTGTTTGATTTAAAATTTCTGTCTGTTGTCCATATTCTAACCATTTGAAGTATTTTAACGTTATATATTACTCTGCTTTCCACTAAGTATCTTGCTGAGCAACACAATTCACATAAGATCAGAGCTAATTTTGATCTTTAATTACGTATGAGAGATCCAAAATCAGATTGGCTGTCTCCAGAGCTACTTGTAGGCCACTACACTTTGCAGCAAAACAGTCCAATGTCAGAAAGTCAGCAACCTTTACAGAGGGGTCTTTAGGGCAGCCCTGTATAATAGGAGAGCTAAACTGGCCTTGCAAAAGCCTCCAGTTGAGATTCTCAGTGTTACCATTAATCCCACAGCCGCATTTTGAAACTAAATCTGACCAATTAGAGACAGAAGGAAAACCTGATGGAACAAACCAACAGTGTCCATAAACCATGTCTGTAAGAATTTCTCCATCATCATGATTCAGAGAGCAAGCTACAGACTCCAGAGAACGGCAAAACCCATCAGCAACCAGTTGATATTGTGTCCGAGAACAATCTATATCTTTAAAACTGCTCGTGGACAGACTACAACTCTAAAAAAAAAACAAAACCGGGAAAACAGAAAATTATCACACTTTTACAGAAATAATTTTAATCAAACATATATCATACTGTTGCCTTTTTTTTTTAAACAGATGGTTCAGTCTTAACTAAAAAAATTGTTCATGTAATGATTATTCCACATAGGAAAGATTTCTAGACAAGTCAAAGCTGAGCTCTGCACAATTATCCTTCAATATAAAAATTCTACACATTTTTATTTTAACACTTAAAAAATAAGCACTTACTATAATAAATACCTAAAGAAAGATTAACAAGAACACATACAGTACTAACAAGTCTGAAAGATGTAATTAGCACCAAGCGCTTCAAATAGACCCCTTTGTTTTATATTAGCAATTAGACAACAAAAATGCCACATTAATCTAAAGACACTGTTTTAACTGTAGCAGTGATTCTACATAAATTCTTAAGTATATCAAGCAGCTTTAAAAAAACCTTATGTCTTACATACCTTGTGTCTTATGTACGAAGCCAGGTGAGTTTCTGTACAGCCACCTCCTAACAATGCCAAAGGTTCCTTGATCGTTAACTGTAACACATGTTCTGCAGTTTCACAGGCGCGCTGAAAACCAGATACATTTGTCATTAGACATACCATGATTAATAGGATTTGCCCCCATTGAAAAAACCACTGGTATAAAATTTTCAGTAGTTTCTGGTACAGACTTCATAAACTTGAATTACATGTGGATATGAAGCTGCTGAGTGACTTCCAAAACCATGTTCACTTAATGAGAAATTGTCTTTATTTGTCCACACTCGGTATGGAAAAGCAGAAATAAAAAAGCTGTATTTTATTCCTTCTTTTTGCAGAACAGAGTTATATATAAAAAGTCAATCAGTATCAATGACGTTTCTAGACCAACTATTCAATACAAAACTATGCTTGACTACCATTGCAGGTATTGCTGCTGGCCTTTTGCTGGGCAATTTTTTCTCTATGCTCTCATAGACCAAGTAGTGAGAATGAAAATGTTTATCCAGCACTGTCCTCAAAAACAGGTGAAAAATGTTTCTGTCTCTAAACAACTCCCATATTAAAATAGAGGCATTAAATGAACATGAGCACTTCAAGGATTTTGAAATTCTGGAAACAAGGGCATTTCTGAATTGCTTTCTTGAAACTGTACACCTAAACTCTAACTAAACTCCATTTATGTACTGAAAAATCACTTTTCTAAACTCACCGTATCTGTATTTCCTCACTACTTTTTTATTCTTCCATTAAAAACATGACTTTTCAAGAAGGATTTCAAGAAAATTCGCCTACCTTCAATTCATCCCATGCTGTTTCATTTCTGTTACAGAGTATCAAGCTGCAGATAACTGTGTCGTTAGGAATTAGATGCACAAAATGTTTTGAAGCAAACCTCTCAATGCGCACATCTTTCAAGCTGCCATAACAACTGGGAGACAATGAATGTATGGAAGCTATAGGCTTTGAACCTGACCAATTAAGAAAAGCAGAGAACATTATGTATTCCTGTCATCAGAAGAGCTATCTGTTGCATTTCATAAAGCAGGAACTTTCTTCCTCTTGGCTTTTTAAATTATATATATTCTTCAATACCCAACACTTCAATCTACACGGAAAATCACAAACAAAACCCAACATGTTATCAAAGTGCAAGACTTAGTGATAGTTTAAGATAAAAAAGTAATTGTTTTATTCTCATTAAACAAGAGTTTGAAAATAATCTACATTTGCAAACGGTTACTGTAACTGGATATTCCTCATGCAGCAATCAGTAGTCACATTTGTATGTCATCATTAGAGCCTGCAAAACAGCAATCTCACCTTAAAAAAATGGTTTTCAGACTAGAAAAGAACAACTCTTGCTCAGCTGCTAAGGTAGGATACAGACAGAAATAAGAGAATCCTTACTTTGCAATGACACCAGCCTAGACAGGTTTTCATTACAAGATGAACATTAAGGACAATTGTTTAGTACAGAAAACTCGCTTGTTACCTGTCATCCGACTCAGGGGTTCCATCAGAGATAGCCCAGCTCTGTCCACAGTGATGACATGGTTCTCTTTCAGATACTGTTTCAAGGATGGATGGATAACTTTCTGGCACACTACAAGGCCGACCTCATCATTAACCAGCTGCTTTCCTACATTAAGCAACTGATTCAGCTCTGACATTTCTAGAGAAATTCCATAAGGGACCGTTATAGTTCCTTCCTCAGGGTTGGAGAGGTCTCCCGACATGGACACACAAAACAGTGCTATCTTGATCATGTTTGAACAAGTTCTTTTCACAGTAAGTGGTTTAGCCAACTGAGTTTCTGGTGCTTCTATCAGTAGTCCAGGAAGAACTGTAGAATCCACAACTCTTCTACCTTTCACAGGTACTATGATACACTTTCCTAAAATAGCATTAGTCTCAACATGACATGGAACAGTAAACATAAAAGCCTTTAAAATCAGCGTGGTGAGATGATCAACTTCTGACTTATTAAGCATGCAAGCAGGTTTGCTTGTTAATACGCTACGTACCAAACAAAGAAGAGTCTCAAGACTGCTAAAATCCACAGACACTCGGCAACCACAGGCCTCAGATTTGAGGTAGTCCATACATAAACTCAAAAGATGCTTGCTTATTTTAATGACAGTGCAAGATGCAACATTTAGGCTTTTAAAGTTTTCAAGCAAACTACAGCAAAGAATGGCAGTAAATAAGCCACAGTCACTGAAGCGGGATATATGGTTCTGTACAGAGGCCGTCAAAACACTCAGTATGGGATGACTGACAGAAAGATGACTGAGTATGGCTGAAGATTGTGAAGTTGTACAAACATAGCCTCCCACACCATTGTGGAGCTGTTTGAGTCTACCAGCAGGACCATAGCAAGATTTTAATATTCCACTTAGCAGAGACAGTGACTGACTAACTGTATCTTTAGTTAAAGGTTCACTAATAAATATCGGAGGCTTTTTAGCTTCAAGACGAGACATTTTCAAAGATTTTAATTCTGGCCAAGAAAACATATTTCATTTTTACTTGGATCTATAATTCATAGCACTTCTAAAATTTAAAGTAGTACATTTTAATTCTTTGCAGCCGAAGATTATTTTAAATGTGAAACCGTACATACACTACAATAACAACATTTCTGTGACTGCTCATCATCTATCTCTTAAAATGAGGATTAAATCCTATTGTGAAATTGATATATAATGACAGCAGTAAGCTATTTCATTCACGATGATCTTCCTTTTTAGCTTCTGAATGCGATCGAACAGATTTTTTTGCAACAAAGTTTACGAGCATGCTTCCAAAATGGACACCTATAAGTGACAGTCCTGCCACAAGCAGAAAGTTCTTTCTACTCCAGCTAGTTTTCCTCATCTCTTCTTCTGGCAACACTCACAGATGAAAAGCTTCAAAGCTAATTATACCTACAATAAAAAACATAAAGGTATTAGGATAATCTTATGACAATATTGCATAGCTTGAACTGCTATTTTATTTTTCACAAAACACTCAAATAAGGACAAATACCAAACTATAATGCTTTTTAATTGAGAAAACATATTACTATTATATATACTACAAGCATATAATACACAAATTATACATGTTTGTTAATAACTTCAGTTCTGACCACCAGTTTATATACTGTTTTACCTATAGGTCAGTAAGTAACAGGCTACTATAAACCGTACTTAGTTGTATGAATGTGTCAAAACTGTAGTGATGTTAAACTGTTTTTACTCGAGAACAAAAGAACTGAACTACTCAGTACTGCTTCCCAGGCAATCACTTCGGAAACAAAAGCTTTTAATGTTCAAACAACTTTAAGAAATCTCTGCCTCTGAAGGAAAGGTTTCTTACTTCAAGATGCCCAAAATACACATTTTTTTCAGTTCTTAAACACCTCAAAACTTAAAGGGATATTTATTTACATTTCTATGTAAATGTACAGTATTTAGACTTCTTTCATACTTGAGTTTCTTTTCTATTGTAATCACCATCCCTACTAACAACACAGAATATGTTACTACATAAAGTCACAATTATTCCTGGGCAGTTTTGAACCTGAAAGGACACTTCTGCAGATCCAGTCACAAGAGTTTGACTATTGCCTTGAAGTTATTGGAGTTTGTTTTTAAATATCTTTAAGACCTATAATACCATCACTTAATTGATCCTATCATATGGGATTTAATAGTAGTTTTTGATGTGTATGATGCATTTTTTGGGTCACTACCAGATTAACTCAGTTGCAAAAAAGAGAAGAGCTCTGGAAGACTACAGTTAGATCAGCAAGGCTGCATCTGTTAGAAAATTCTCATTTAATTGACTCATCTCCTGCCTCAAAGATACAGACACAACTGATTAGGCAACTTACCCACAATACATAGCACTAATGCTATTTTTCTTTATTTTTGTGATTGCTTTGCATCACGTATGCCACAATCCCAGGTTCTGGAACAAAGTCCTCTGTCTTCACTTGGAAAATAGGACTGGACTTGATGTAAAACCACCCCCAGTGCACCAGCCCAAGGCTAGTTCCCATAACAATCAGAACTTTGTAGTCCTTCCAGATGGTTTTCAGACCCATCGCAGACTGGCATCTACCTAGGTAAAGACAATTTATGATTTTAAATATATTCTAGAAATCCTTTTTTTTTTTACTCTATAATAGCACAGAACAGATGAACCTGAATGTTAATATCTTTAATTACAGTGCAGCAGATGATTAAAACATAAAATGACACAAGAAAGTCTTACCTTGTGAACTTCAAAAAAAAAAGGCTATAAAAATAACCTGAATTCAGACATCTTGAAATGTTAATTGCTGCATTCGCTTCAAGCTCTGGCATGCTAAATCTTACAAGCTTTGGTAGTTTGTTATTACAAATGTTACTGCATCAGATGGTAAATATTTGAAGTCTAAAACAAAGCAGTTTCAAAATACACCATTTTTTCCCCATAGTTAATAAAATTCAATGACTAACCAAGCTCCTAAGAGAATATGGAACTTTTAATTTGCAGGCCAAACAAGCTGCAATGCTTCTGACATCACTTTACACTGGGAGTAGCAGCTATGCCTGGCCACCTTAGCCCTCTTTGCCCTTGATCTTCAGAAACTACAAAGTATTAGTACAAACATAATAAATACATCCTTGTCTAAAAAGAACGCGTAAGCCTCTACTTTCCATGGGATTTCATTAAGAATTTACCAACTACAGGGAAAAAAGATACGTATACTCAGGTTTAAACCACGAAGTTATTTTGATATAAAAAAGCTACAAAGGTACAACTTGAAGAGTAAATGTTCCTACCCTTGCCCCACTTCATCCACCTGACAGGAGTAACGTGTCCTACTAAAACCCCCTCCATCATGCTGTGGAGATTTCACAGCTTCACACCGCTTGGCACACAAAGCAAAGCCGACTAAAAAATCACACAGC